TGCTTCTCCTTTTCTGGAAGTGTTTAGTGCTTTCATTTCTCCTTGACGACATGGCCCTTCTTACCACCTACAGGGTTCTGGAGCCAAATCCGGGTTGAATAATACTCAGGACAACCAAGCGTTTCTTTCCGTCACGCCCAAAGATGAAACATCGAGATTTTATATCGGCTCCCCCAACCATTCATTGTATAGGATGAGTCGCATTCGAGTGCCTCTAGGATTTTGAGTGAAAGTGGAAAGCGTGGCGCACTCCGGAAAAGGATTGAGCGACACAGAATGCTAATAAAGTATAAAGATGAATGCTTTGCTTACTTTTCTCTATGCTTCACGCTTTCTGGTGCAGGAAAATTCTATAGGAAGTCGTGCGCATTGCTCTAGGAAGACGTAGGTGTTTTGAGAAAGAATTTTCATCGTTAGATCACAAAGGCTTATGTTTGACAGGGACCATTTCGCTCCAAAGCATGGTTTTCTCGAAGAGAGAGGTAAGGGGTGAAAAATTGGTTGGCGTTTGCTATTTTTTCGGAACGGCCTCTTTCTCGACTTTCGTTCACTATCGTAGAGGCATTTGAGTGGATTTTTGGTCATAGCAATACTTTTTGTGGCCCAATCGATGTTCTGCTGGGTATCTCAACAGTTCTACCGAGCTCGTCCCTTTTGGTGAATTGAAATGATAGGGGCAAAGAACATGCTTCGAAGAAAGGATGGGTGTTTAGGTTTATCAACTTGAGTTTGTATCCGCGCACCTGTGATACGGTGTTACTGACTGCTAATTTACCTCACCCGTCTCCATGGAGTACATAACAGTTGTATTTTACTGCGTTCATTGAAGGTCTCACGACGAATGGGATTTATCCCTATTCCACTGTCAATTATGCTTATACGGGTCCTCAGTCAGACGTTTTCTCTTCAGAACAAGGCTAGCATAGTCATATGTGGTAATATTTAATAGAACTTCCCTTTTACACCTTGAATCTCACTGCTAATTTTTAGTTATGGCCTGGTTGCTGATGATTGCAATAAAGATATGCAATGGTATAGTCCTTTTGGGCAAGGCTTGCGCTCATGTTATGAGGTATAAGGATTTACAGGTATATCCGAAATTTACTGCTGTTAAATAATTGCTTTTTTTCTTCTTCCGAACTTTTTAGCCTTAGTACATATAAGAAGTCCCACTTTTTGGGTTTGAATGCTAGTTTATTGTTACATACATGTGTTCTTAGGCTCGTGCTGAATACGACCTCTATCGTAAGCGAATGGTCGAAAAGAAGAGCAAGAGTGCTCCAAATTCACCTCGTATTAGCCTGATCGACTTCTCAGGTATGCTAGAAAGGCATGAGTATTGTTGGCTAGTAATGAACGCCTGCAAATTACAGATGTGTTGCACCAAACGGCTGGGTGAAGTTCACATATCCGATCTTGATATCTCATGGCGAAGATCTGGAGGACGGTAGCCACGAAGAAGCAGTGAACGAGATCGTGAAGAACGACCACCACGAAGAACTCAAAGTTTAGCCCATATGACACGGTAGGTTGGCTGATTCATTTCCCAAGTTTTATAAATCTCTGCCGAAGCACACCGCACCTTTCTTGTTCCTTAGACTATGACTTTACGCAGACAGAAGGAGCATGTGGTTAGATTCGAAATGAACCAGTGGTGAAGAGAGAATCTCACGATTCTCACTCCACCGACGATGAAAATTCAGAGGTACAGCTGCGTTAGCAAAGGTTCTAGCACGTTAGGGGGGGGGGGAAGGGAGGGGGAGGACATTACGCAGTTCAATTATGGCTGTTCGTAACTAACTTCGTATAGCAAATGCGTGATACTACGGCGTTCCTAGCCTTCGAGAGATCACGAGACGTAACGCTATTGGTCAACGCCTAAGTTTGTCGCGCAATCCTTCAAAACCGTTGGCGCCATCATCCGTATCCGTTCGGACGATAGCGAATCACCGATGCACAAAGCTCTTTCTTTGCGCTTTCTTTTGCTGAGCGTTAGATATGCTTGCGCACGATGTTTAGTGCGTAGTCGCGGGTGCCTATTATCCAACCGCCTGCCGCTACAATCAGTTACCTCCAGGGGGAATAACGGTCGAGGAATCCTCGACCATGGCTCTGTGCTGTGCGGGAGTAGTGCCGAGAGTGAATGTACGCGGAGAACACAGGCGGCTCGCGCAAGGAGTGAGAGTGTCTGCGCGGGATAACTGATCAGACGAAAACTCCTTGACGTGCCGTTGAGGAATCCTCCATCGATATCCACCCTGGTTACCAGCATCTTATTTTTCTCAGGTGTCGCTATCTTTTCGCTGTCTCCCGCACCGGCGCAAAGTATGAGAGCGGCTGAAGACGTTGGAGTTGAAACTGATACAGACTTTCCAAAAAACGAGACATGTTCCTTGACTGCTAATGAAACCATGCAATTAGATCCGGTTTATGCAACTGCATCGTTATATTTTAGATTCTTTAGTGTCAAGAGGGACAAAAGTGAACCTCCGTCGTCCATTCCTGAAGTGGATGAAAAGGCAGCGAAAGAAGAGTCCTCGTTCCCGCCCGAGAAACGAGAAAAGGAGAAGGAGAAGACGGAGTGCGTTTTCAAGTTTTCATTCGTAATGTGCTAAAAGTTTTTTTTGATCGATGAATGCTGCACGCTGCAGAATCGTTTTCCCCTAAACTTGTTCTTTCACTGATTCGTTGCTGCGCACCAATCCCAATGATATGTTTGTGTTCTGCGAGTAGCACTACTTCTGAGAGCACCAGGCCCTCTAGCGCCAAATAAGCGCCTGCTTTCCCGACAATACCCCGAGAACCAGTTTTTGCGCATCTCCTCCGATAAAAAAGGATAAAAGGATAAAGCATTTGCCGTTGATCAATCCCTTTTGGGATGCGGCACGCATTCTACTTCCATTTGTACATTCGTAGTGGCGTTTGAATGCGATGTGGCCTATACAATGACTTGCGGGGGCCAGCCGATGTACAAGTCAGTGTTTTTATCCTCCCAGACAAGTCTGGTACCAATTAACCGACCCCGGAGGGATGGAAGGCTTGGTTGGCCCGGGCGACTCACGACCCAGGATTTGATCCCCGGACCGCTCGCGTGGTAAGCGTGCCACTTGCCACTACAACCTCCCGAGGATAATCTTTGAAAATACAAAGCTCGTTTTGCGCAGAGTGGGGCATTGAAGGAAAAATTGTGCCGAAAATATCCATTTTTTGGAAATCAAGAGATTACCATAATGGGTTGAGTTCTGGTCTCTGGGGAAAGTAGAATGTCGTGAGAATAGCATTTCTGCGCTAACTTTACCGTTAAGCTGTTCTTGTTTGCGCCATCTTAATCATTCCCTTCCCTCGCACAGTCTTCTCACCGGCCCGTTGAAAATAAACCCTCACAAGTGAAGCATTGAGGTATGTTTGTTTGAAAGACATGAAGCTATGAATCCATGAACATGACGATGTGATGCTGTTCTGCGGGTGATCTCACACGTTAAAATAGGAACAGTGATCACTTCCTACTCAACTGACCCATTACAATAAGTTATAGCAGTTAATGTTATTATGCTGTCGAATTTTCGACTACGAACATTGTCCACTACTGATGAAGTTGTCTTTTTCAGTGCTTCTCAGACTAGTCCGAAGAAGAAAGTAGGTGTATCAGCGACTGGCTGTGATGTGCTAGCTGATGTCACAGCTTACACCATGCTCCCACCTGGACAAGGTGTTGAACGGATAGAATGACTGCATACGAAAATGACTCTTGGAGGGAATGTAAGCGCTTTTGAATGTTAAATGTTCTCAAATAACGTCTCTGCTGCATTGTGTATTTCATGATAGTAAATAACTAGAATACTGGAGATCTAGAGAAGACATTAGGGCTCCAGAAAAAAGGTTCAGTAATTCAAAGTGTTTCACTCAACAGTAGTGTGTTTCACTCAAAGGCACAGCCCACTTTTGAGCGAGCATGGATATTTCGCTCTAAAGCCGAATCGCTCTGTACCTTCCCCTCACTTGAAGCATTTCCGATGAAAATAGGAAGATTGCGTTTGACTGACATTTGGGCAAGAGCGATTTATTTTAGGAATCCGTACAGCTCTACTCCAAGATCTCCTGAAGTTGATCTGTACCCAAGCTGGTTGCAGGTACTACGAATGCTTGTCAGTTAGTGAGCCTCCTATTCGGTTTCACTACTTTGGCAGCAATTCAGCACGCCTCAATCGGCACATTTATTTGGAGTTGAGTAGTGCAGCTGCTGAACATCATTGGTTATTTACAAACTTTTTTTCCGAATTAGAAATGGAAGAGACTACCCTAGACTACCCCTTCCTTCTGAGCCTTAATCCCTGCTTTTAGGAAGTGATCACCCTTCCTATTTTGACGCGTAAGATCACCCGGAGAACAGTATCATACCGTCATGTTCATGGATTCATAGCTTCATGTCTTCCAAGCAAACATGTCCCAATGCTCCACAGGGTTCATCTTCAACGAGCTGCAGACCGGTGCGAGGGGAGGGAATGATAAGATGGCGCAAACAAGAACAGCACAACGGTAAAGCTAG